AATGCTGCTTGAAACTCAACTCTCAGACCCGCGCACTAGTGACTCTTCAATATTCCACACATCCAGTTTAATTGACAGCGGCTGCACAGCCTTCGCATTTGCAGATGCTAAGTTAGTTGTAAAGCGCTTCAAGATCTCAACCAAGAAACTTGTCAACCCCCGCTATGTTCGCCTAGCTGATGGTAGTACCCAGGCTACTGTTACCGATTATTTCACTATTTGCTTGCACTTAGGCCTGCACTCAGAAATAATTGTGCTCTATGTAACAAGTCTGGGTGCGTGCAATCCAATAATCTTAGGTATGCCATGGCTTCAGCTTCATAATCCCTTTTGTGATTGGAATGCCATGACCGTTAATTTCGGCTCACAATTCTGTCAACGTCAATGTCTCCCATGGACAATCTCACCTCCCGACTTTTGCCAGCCCCCAAAAACCCCGGGACTACTTGAAACCCCGCTAAAAATACAGACTACACCCTCTCCAATTGCACCAATTTTACACCAAGCCACTGTGGAAGATTGTCCCGATCATGAAATCGAAACTATCCCTGACAATGACATGGAAAGTTCTACGCATATCTTACAAAGAAAATTAGATCAAGTTGATGTGGATAGATTTCTTCAAGAAAAGCATTAACCTTCGGTAACCGAGATTAAAGGTCTTCTACCTCCAGAATTACACCAATATATGGAACATTTTTTACCAAAAAATTCTAAAATTCTACCTCTGCATCGTTGATGGGATCATAAAATCGAGCTTTTACCAGGAAAACAACCCCCATTCTATAAAAATAGGCCATTCTCTCCTGGCGAACTTCGTTGCATCAAAAAATGGATTGACGAGATGTTAGAAAAGGGATTCATACGCGAATCAGCTTCCCCAGCTGCTGCTCCCCTTCTACTTGTACCCAAACCTAGTGGTGGGGTGTGCATCTGCCAAGATTATTGTGGTCTCAATTTAGTCACTGTGAAAAACCGGTATCCGCTTCCTTTGATTCGGGAAACATTAGATTCAATATCTGCAGCTGAATTCTTTACTAAGCTTGATGTAATTGCCGCTTTCAATCGTGTTCGAATCGCAGAGGGCGACGAGTGGATGACTGCATTTACTTCTCGTTTTGGACTTTACGAAATGCTTGTCACACCATTTGGTTTGTGTAACGCTCCTGCCACCTTTCAAAATATATATAAGCTGCATGGTGCACCTGATTCGATTATTTCTGATTGTGGCTCTGCTTTTGTCTCTGAATTTTGGCGCAGGCTGAACAGGCGTCTATCTGTATCACTAAAACCCAGCTCAGCTTTTCACCCACAAACCAATGGCCAAACTGAAATTGTAAATTCGGCTATGAATCAATACCTTCGAGCTTTTTCGAATTTTCCGCAAGATGATTGGGTCGACTGGCTGCCTCTAGCAGAATTTGCATCTAATAATCAGGCAAGTGAGACCACAGGAGTTTCCCCGTTTTATGCCAATTACGGATATAATCCCCGCCTTGGAATCGAGCCTCCGGATCCTAGACCCCCCAATTTAACTGATAGCGTCAAAAAAGAGTACTTGCGTGCCGACATGATAGCAGAGCGGTTTGATCGTATACTTGGAAAACTACATGCCCTTACAAGGCAGTCACGAGACCGTTATGAAAACAATGCAAATACACGAAGATCAGAATCTCCAATATATCAACCTGGAGACAAAGTGATGATTAGTTTGAAGAACCTGAAGACTAATAGACCAAAGAAAAAATGGGACGATAAATGGGACGGACCTTATCGTATTCTCAAAGTATACAATGGCGCAGTAATTGTTGATTTGCCAGACCACATTCACGTTAACAAAAGTTTTCACACTTCATTAGTAAGGCCATGGAAAGAACCTGTACTTAATGGTCAATCAATTATCAATAACCTTGAAAATAGAATTGTTGCAGGTCGAGTTGCCGAGAGGGACGATGATGGAAACATCATGGATGAATGGGAGTTCGAAAAAATATTAGATGTTCATGCTGATGATATTGAAAAATCGGGGCTTAATTATCTCATTAAGTGGAAGTATGACAAAAAGCCTACCTGGCAACCTCAGGCCGATCTCAAAGGTTGCGAAAAAGCTCTTCGAAATTTCCATCTTCAAAATCCAGACAAACCAGGGCCCCCTTATGGAATAAATATGCCACTAAACTCTAAAGCAGAAACGGACTCTCGATTACGTCGTTCCAAGAGATTACGACGGCCTAAATTGGTGATCAAGAAATAATAAGTAATTAGCTTGCATATTCCTGATAAAATTTCATAAGAGTTTGGAGACCAAACTATGTGGAGGGGGAAGTACTGTCACGGTAGTAAGATGGTAGTTGGGGTCGTTTAAGGTTAAGCGATAACTGAGCCTCTATAGGCCTTCGTGTAGCTCGAAAGTCTTTTCTCTTCTCATCGCACAACTCAATCATAATACTTAACCACGCACTTTGTAAACCTGCCCTGTGACGTACTATGTATACATATTGCATGACTTTTTTGACGTTTTAGACACTCATACTCTGGATTTCATTCGCAAATACCACTATGAGGTATGCTTGCTTACAAAAACAGTAGGCCCTCCTCCATAAGTATCCACCAAAGAGAATTTCAAAACCTTTGGTTGTCCAAGCATGCCTTCGTCATCCATACATACCAGCACCGCGAGAAATGTGGTTGTGTTTTGCAGGATTCGAGCCAGTGGTCTACTGTCTCGAGTGGGATATGTGTCCAAGTTATTCAGACTTTACTTGGCAGACCGGCCAAGACGATGTACCACCGCACCATCCAACCATGGCAGTTTTTATAGTGTTGCCTGCACTCTCTCAACCGAAGTCTTGGCACGTACAAAGCTCAATTTGTAAAAGCTCCTTGCCAAAATTCAAAATTCAACGCCCGTCGAGACTGTATCCATCCTCTGCATTATCTTATCAGCTTGTCCTGACCCCTTTCACGTCCGTCCCAAAGAACTGTCCCCCAGATTTGTGCGCCACGCTTTGCCTCCTCTGTCGGGTGTAAATATCGGCGTGGACGTGTATCTGGCGACCAGCTAAGACTATAGAAAATCGACGAGAGGTGTGGTCATTGGAATGAGGATGTACTAGGTCGCACATGTAGACTTTATGAGGCTTAGTTAGGAATCGATTTCGTTAGGTGTGAAAGATTGATATAGTGGAGTATTTCGAATCAATGCCTCGTGGGCCAACTTCTTTGATATTCCAAAATTTGACAGAACATTGCTCTGGGAGAATGTTTCACTCCCAGGTTCGTAGAGGACACCGCGTACAGGTGTTCAGTCTTGCCCTCCAATTGACCCGATCGTGGCAGTAGCGAGCGCGGAGAAGGGGAAAAGGTAAACCATCGAAATCTCGAAAATTAAACATTTTGTGTGAACGTGTATGTGACGTAACCAGCCTGGTTGTAGTATACTTATAGAGATTATACTATACGGAGAGAGAAGTAACACATCTATGGCTAATGCATATTTATACATCTTTCCAACTCATCCAGTATGTTCTCCGTTGGTTAGCATGTCATGTTTCTCCGCCATTGCCCGTATTTATCTTTCTTGGCCACCTGATTCGGCTCTCTCACCTGAACATTGCGCTTCTCTATCTCACATTCCTTCATAGCCCCAATGTAATGTGGTGAAGTAAAGCTAAGGAGTTTGATAAAGAACAATGTTCAATTCTCTTGCCACTGTGCCCCAACCTCCGCTTAGTTCTCCACCTAAGCTAAACCAAGGTCAACCCGTAAGTGGTCAATTCTTAATACGAAACTGAGCCAATAGCGTGCACAAAATCAAATCTTCACATCATTTTTCAATTATTTTTAGCCTGTCTAAAATTTCGAAGCTCTAATGTTCATGAATAAATTCTAACTAATTTCTAAGTCATAGATACCGGTTTTATTAGCATACAATTTTTAATCTACGTGTCCAACTTAGCACCATGAGGTACTGTCTCAATCTTACTAGCGTAAAATAGCCGTTCCCACACTTTATTTTTGACGTGCTTCGAAGGTTCTGTTCTTGATCTGTTCGGCTAAATCGTAAATAACTTGTCAGCAAAACTCAATCCGGTGAAAACTATTTCAAAAGATCACAAAAATATTTTACCTCTAATATTCTCAATAGTTTTGTCAAATGTCTTGATTATTCTTTGATACAAAGGTCCACAATCTTCGGGTGTTTCAATATATTGTCCATTATCATTAAATAGAATTTGTCGTAGGTTCCTAGCTAATTCCTTAAGCCCTTCGAAACTGGGCGTGAATTTATCGAGAAGCATGTCAGAATTCACGACTTCGGCTACTTTAGACATGTAATTCATCGCCAAATCTTTGCTGCACCATCTTTCCAGATTATTATCCTTTGATTCAGACACTTTTTCATATTCAATGCATCCTACAATAAACACATAGAAAAATGATTCGAGATCATGGCGACAAGTCCGTCAGATGACCTCTCCTTTTAGCGAAAAAATCATCAATCGCTCGAGCGCCATGAACTTCAAGTTGCCCGTCAAGAAATGCTCATAGTCCATGGCTAAATTGTCTTTAATCTTAACTGAATGTTCCAAGCCAGTCAACATCCCATGCATGTCTTTGTCTGAAGTTGTCTTTAACAAAACTATTCTCTCTTCACAAACATCTCCATGTAGTATCCCTTTACCCACAAGGCCATCATGTCCCTTGATTGCATCTCGGATGCCAGCAACAAAATCAAGAATCGACCCACTAGAGTAAATTGGTCGACCACGTGGTGTTACTGCCATCCTGGTGAGTATTCGATTCCTCTCCATGGATGGTTTTGTTATTGTATTTACGTGAGAGCCCTTTGGAACAAACCTGTTGCTAGCATTCAATTGCCAATATGTGGCGCGGGATAGATCTAGATTATCCAAGTGATCTTTGGTTTCATAAACAAACTCTGAAGTTAAACACTTAACAACACCAGGTATAGAGGAGGTAATTTTTAGTAATTCGGCTCAAGTATCTTTTTCCGAACTACTCCATGAGTACTTGATCACGGTTGATTCGTCCTTCGTTTCGTAGCAGGTTATGCCTCGACTAAAAAGTCCCATCGGTCGTACTACTGGTTTAAACTTGATCTCATAGGATGGACCTTCAATATTCCCACTTTTGAGGAACTGTACAAATTTATCCTCACCCTTCTGAAGAATTGACATTTCCCGACCGAGTTCCTCATCACTCATCAGGAGATATGAGCTTATTGCTCGAATGAATATCTCCTTGTCATCAACAATACTTAATAAGCCTGAGCCATAGGCACCAGACCGATCAAAAAGCCAGAGTTCAAATTCTTCTTGAAACAAGCAGAATCCATGAATGAATCGTCGCAAAGGCTGAGCGCAAAACACTTGACGGACCGATCTTGATAGTCGGATAAACTTCTCTTGCCTTACGTTTCCGCTGGGTGATTTATCGATCTCGCCCAGCACATTTATGTCTTCCCCATCCACAGGACCATCCACTGGTAGATTGATACTTTTGATCATAAAATCAGTTTCGGAGAAGTCCGCCGTGTTTACTGCGTGTTGTGAGTGTTCTGTCCGAAAATACTGTCCTCGTAGTTGGAAGCTTTCCTTTTCAATGACAACGGGATTTTCTGTCGATAGATTTGGCAAAGAGTCTTGGAGCTGATCCAAAAATGTTTCCTTGAAAAAATTGAGCCATTCCCATATCTCACTTTCTTTCATATTTATCACCAGAACTTTTTCTTTCAAGGCTTTATGCAAACTTACCAGATGAAGAATATCTTTCGGCTTGTCCAATTTTCGTATTTCTGATGACCTCTTCTTCATCTCGGCAGTCTCATACTTTTGATAGCTCTCCCAAATGCGAGCAGTCTGTTCGGACCATGCCTTATTGACGAAGAAAACACTCCAGAAATTCCGAATACCATGAAATACGTGATTATCTATATCAGACTTCAAATCATCTTTCATCTCCTCGGCTATCTTATCAAAACGCCGTATTTCTGTATAACTTTTAGCATGTGATATTATACTATTTGTAGGAGTCGATAAAGGGCTTTCTTTGTATTCAGCAGAAAGAATTTTGAGGGATAAATCTAAAATAAATCGCTCATTCTTTTTCTTGAAAATGGCATGAACAAGATGGTCAAATTTATGTAGGTTTATTTCATTATTCATGATTTTGCCCGATAGATCATCGAACAATTCGGCAACTATGGACATATGACGACTAGCGCGAAAAGAAATTGTGTAATACGCCAGTTCGGAAAACATCCTCGCAAGGACTAATCTGTTAGCTTAATATACTGTAGCGTGAAGGTATGTATCACCTGCTTTAAGGCTAGACCCATGTTTACAGTTATTTCTGAATTCTTCCAAGATATACTCGATAGAGTTCTAAGCAAGATATGGGTCAATCTCTGTGAAATCATCCATGTTGTAAATTAAGGTTGCGAGTGGTTTGCTGTTGAAGAATTGGATGTCGAAAAGTTGAGGTTGGGTATTTTTATTTCTCTTGGATTACTTATGGTTATTCCTCCGTGCAGATTATGTTTTGCGATATCATGTGCTGGCGCGATGAGGAGCCTAGAATTTCATGTGAAGCCTAGAACATGCTATCTAGGTTCTTCATTCACATGCATGTTACATGGAAGGAAGACACGGGTTGTCCTGTGGCATGATTCAGGGAGGAAATAACGAAGAGTCTAGTATTCGGAAAAGCAGTACTAATACCTGCAATTACTGCACAAAAAGTGTTCAAATATTAAAACTTTAATACTTCACTGTTCATTCATCAAGAAACAGAGGAGAAAAGAAGTGAAAAATCTATCACCATTCACACTTTCAATTATACTCTATATAAATGCGGGGAAAACTTCGTTCCTAAAATATCTTTCAACAGCTGGCTGCCTTTCAAGGGGTAGAGTTGAGGAAGATAGAAATCAACCAGCTAACTAATTACAGTTTACTCATTAAGAATATTCTATGTATAATAATGTACATAAAATGGTGAAATAAGGAGGTGTTTGAGTTGAGGAGGGAATAATTGTACATAGTGTCATAGCTAGTTAGGCTGCAAACACTTACTGAATTAGAGAATAAAGGTCTTAGCTGCGCTCCTCTGCAAAACTGGGAGCGAGATTTTTTCCCGTAGCCAAGTACATCCTCATTCTATTGAACACACCTCCCAACGTCTAATCTCTGGACTTGGCCAGTCACTCATTATATGCTCACGAGAATACGAATACCCGCAGGAGGATAAAAATGTGGCACACGAAATTGGGAGACAGTTTTCTATAGTAGACATTGTAAACCTCCTATTGTGGAAACAGGTCATCGATCACACTAACTCCGAACGTACGTACGCGCTTTTCTGACATGAGATGAATCAGGCCAGCAATGACAAATTCTTCACCTTCAAGTGGTGCAGGTGTAATCGCTCATTTTGCCCTGCATATCTGGGATAGCCAAGAGGGATTTCATCCGAATCGAAGTCGAAAGCAAATAAAAGTTTATCTCCATTTGACGACATCTCAATCATGTAGTACTTACCATTATCCTCTAAGTCCTCGACCTCTTTCTAACCACACATCATCTCGCCTCAACGACCGATAAAGGTGTTGCTCCAATTGCAAACAGGAGCTTGCCTCATTTATTACCGGCCATCACCCACTACAAATTTACTACTCTATATATACCTGCAAAGAGCAAACTAAGTCATAATTTACAAAATTGGGGTCTTGGTTCATGGGGGACTGTTGCTCCAATGGGGCTATACATCTTGAGGAGGGACAGGTGGCTGTGACAGAAACCGAGTTGGTGATGAATAAATCGATTTATTAAACTATTTAAGGAGAAAGGAGAACTCTAGCTACGACTAACAGGTAATTATAAGAATTAGTCCCCTCCGTCAATCTCCAGACTAATGACTTAGCCTTAGGCGCAATACATGCTACCCAGACACGCATTGCCAGGTGTTACTTAGTTGTAGTAACGCTTCGATCTCCTAACTAGTAGTGCCGTCTTATTCAGCTTCATCTAACCCTCTCCATGCAGCCTTGTTGAAAATATTCTCAACAATACGCTTAGTTATTCACCTAAGCTCAAACAACGGTCAAACCGTAACAGTGACTGAGATGTGGAGCGAGAGGGGAAGCAGGTCTCTGAAGGCCATGCTAGGATTGACATTTTCGAGGGATTTTCAACCTTTGGAATGTTTGTGGGCGCGAACATCGAGATTTCAGCTAATTAGTCAGGAAGGCTTCTATTATCGATGAGACAACGGCACTCCCCAGAGCTCTGGATGTAGTTCAAGTCTCGTATCTATTACAAAATGAGTGGTACAGCGACTGCTAACAATTGTTACTAGAAGTAATACTTTTAATGAAGTGTATATTATTTCTTATCTTTTCCCTTCCTCTGGCTACAAGTGTTATGTCCAAGAATGAGCGTGACCCTAATTTGCGAGACACGAGACCCACAAGGACGGTACAAAAGAAGTCTGGCTAATGTACTTTACACCAATCACCTGCCCAAATATACCAGGGAAGGAATAAATAGATCATAAACTCTGCCTCGACTTTGAGGCTTACGTTATGAACGGTTGGCTTGGTATTTCTGAATGGACCTATGAATAGTATGCTGAGAATGGGTGTACTACAGCAAAGGAGTAAAGGTGCAGGCGTTACGCTACAAGCTATCATGACATTAGAGAATTGCCTTGCACACCTACCATGGTGCCACGAAGTGACTCAACCTTGCATATACGCAAATTAAGGAAGCATCTCTAACATTGCATACCCACAAATATCATCTTGAACTAGAGTCTGATTAAATTCCAAATACCTAGTGATCAATGGTTTCTGCCAGCGCAATAACTCACCCAACTCTGATGGGTATTGTCGAGGCAATGCAAAAATCAGAGCAACAAAAGAAAGTAAGACTGGATCTTGCCCAGGAATTCCTAGAAAAATTGACGCCTGGGCGAAAACCAAAGCAGGAACAGTGGCGTCGGCCACTGTGACGCCTCTTATTGAAAGTATAGCTACAATAGTAATGTCGTTTGCTATTGGAACAACACAGGCAAATGAAACCCCCGTAAGACCCACCAACCCTCGAAGAGCGCGATAACAACAGAGGCTCCCAGGTTCGTTGAAATACTCGGGCCATCTGATTGCGCGCTCCCAGTAAAGCCTCTGTTGAAGCTTTGTCGTGGAGTGATAGATATGAGAGTGAGGTTTAAGGGTCACGATGTATGAGATAACTGAGGTGCGGATGTATGAGTTCCTTACTATTGTTGTTTTACTAGTTAGGGTTGTATTGTCTATATGCATAAAAGGATTTCTCCATCTACAAGTGGACCAGATCGCTTAGATTTGGCTAGCGGCTTTCGCCATCCTCTTCCTTCTCCCCCGCATGGCATCACGTGCTATACAACTACTGCTCACCATGAAGTCCGAGGATGAAAAGCGTTAGATTACAACAGCCTCAAGCGGACAAGAAACCATGGGCAACAGTAGCTCCCAGATCCTCCAGCAGCTCCGCTTCATTGAAAGACTGTCTTGCCGGCAAATACGACGACTCCAATGCCCCCAAAAGAAGATAAACGACTTTTTCTTCGACTGGGGCCAGACCACGAATGGTGGAGACTATCTCCTGTCACCATACAAAAGTTAATCACGGAGCGTGCTGGAGTAGCAGCATCTGCAATCGTGCAGATGTATCAGGTCCGATCTGACCTGGCCTTTGAATGCGCTTCAGACGTGCTAAGAGAAACAGTTCTGGGTGTTGCCCCATCCTTCCAGCAACAGAATATCACCATCGAGCCAGCTTCATACAGGGTCTCGGTCATTGTCCCACATGTCCCTCTTTACATTAGAACCCTTGAAGGCAGCATTTCAGGGACTACGTCCAGGAGAGCAGAATATACACCGAGCCTAGTCGGGGGATGGCAGGGATACCTTTGACTCGGAGGTGATAGATCAAAGGCCTAAGTGGTTTAGCATGGACAGAGAGATTGGATTTGAGGTTCAAGCGCGTAATGGCTGAGGCGGAACGATGGAAGGGAGATTGTTTAAGTTTTTCTTTTGTAATGCGGGATTTCGGGTGAAAGTTTTTGTTTTGTTTTTAATCTGGGCTGCTGAATTCGTCATGGTTCAACACATAGATGCTGTTACGGTTTGACCGTTGTTTGAGTTTAGGTGGATACCTAAGCCTGATACTAAGAATTCTTACGATGAGGCTTTATGGAGGGGGAGATGAAGCTGAACGAAACGGCACTACTACTCAGTAGGCGGAAGTGTCATTACAACTTAGTGACACCTAGAAATACGTGGCTGGGTAAGAAGTATTGTGCCTAAGGACAAGTCACTAGTCTATAGATTCACGAGGAGGATAAACTCTTATAAATACCTGTTAGTAGTAGCTAGAGTTAGCTTTTCTCCTCATATAGTTTATTATATCGATTTATTCATTACCAACTCGGTTTCCGTCACAGATGCATTTTGGCATGATTCCGGTCATTTAGGTGGCACGAGGCACTTGTACTGCACAGTAGTTAACCTGATCCGGCCCGACCCCACTCGTGCTCAAGATCCAGTAGGAGTGCAATGGTAGTCATTTTACCTAGCACGTTAATGAACAAACAAAACGCACAATTCGAGAAATTCGAAAATTCGAAAATTCATTTTTTCACTCTTTCCTCCCTTCTCGACCTCGTCGCATCCATCTCTGAATTGTGATCGAGCTCAGGCATTTTCACAATGCCTTCAGTTCGCAAAAAGCGTCCAAACGCCAAGTTGGACAACACGAGAGTCCACCAAAGGGCTCTCGAACAATTACCTGTCCTTTTCCAGTCTCCGAAATGCGCGGAGATAAGCAAGGTCTCAATCAAAGGGAAGGAAAAAGCCCTCCCCGCCGTCGCTGAACTCGATACTGACATGATCGGGTCAGTCGAAACTTTTGAGGAAATTCCTCAACCACCCTCCGTCCCCCACGGGATTGGAGAATCGTCAAAATCTCCTCCGACCGCATCACAACCGTCGAAAAACGCTGCACCTATATCAGCGCCAAATTTAACGTTGCAGCCAAAAGCTGCTACAAAAGCAGAGTGTCCCCTCGAGCTTCGACCAATTGTCGAAGCTGAACAACGACGCGCCGCCGAAACAGCGGCAAATCTGGCCCTCTGCTCCGCTGCCATCTCTGGCGTCGAAGCCACCCTTCTTCCTTTGACCAACAGGTCAAACAGACAATTCGTAGACTCGATGAGAGTCTAC